TTATTATTTTTGTGTGCGTGTACCATCAAATCAGATCTGACTGGTACAGGAGGAGATTGTCCCTCCTTCCCCGGCAGAGCATCTGGTGGATTCGAACCGTCTGCCTCTGGGATTGTAGTTACAGCTCCTTGCCACTAGGCCACCAGAGCTCCCCTAGGGTCAGTATTATTAGGTGCTGTTGATTTGGTTCCAACCCTTTGTACAACAGCGTGATAACGGTGCCCAGGTCTGTTGGAGCATATTGTTTGTAACCAGTGTGTCAGTTTATCTCTTTGAGAGTCTTTTTTTTTTTCTAACTCCATGCCTTTCTACTTTTCTTTCCCTCCTTTTTATTGAAATTTGAGTGAAAGCTTAAAAAAATTAATTTTCGGGGAGCTCTGGTGGTCTAATGGCAAGAAGCTGTACTACAATCCCAGAGATACGCAGTTCGAATCCACCAGAAGCTCTGCCGGAAAAGGAGGGGCAATCTCTTGTACCTGTTGGATTTGATTTGACGGTACAGACACACACAAAATAATTTAAAAAAATTTTAAAAAAATATTCATTCATACATTTTGGTTTTTATTTATTTTACAATACCCACAATGTCTCTGAATTCTTCCCACTTCCTGTGATGTGCATTCTATTAATCCTATCCTACTTCTTTCAGCCTTGGGAACTTTATCCTGGGCAAATGCTCCCCTTTTGATCTTACGTGGCTGATTATTCTCAGGAGTAAGCGACTCTCTGATGTTACTGTTTTTATCTTATGGGTCTGTTTTGTTGCTGGACGTTGAGCCATGGGTTATGAGGTTTATTTGGGTTTGAAGAGTGACTAAGGACCACAGTCTTGGTGATTCCTTTAAGGTGACCCTCTACCAAGCATGACCTTTATCCTGGGACTGGTTCCTCCTAATAACATGTCCAAAGTAAATGCCATAAAGTCTCACCATCCTCTCCTCTAAGGAGCTTTCCCGCAGTACTCCTTCCACCACAGATTCTCTGTTAGTCCATTGTCTGTCTTTACCCACATTATATTGCAAATACATAAATTCTTCCGTCAACCTTTGTCAATTTTTCACATGCATGTGAGGTGATTGGAGACAGTATGGTTTGGGTCAGATGTACCTTGGTTCTCAAAGTGACACCTTGACTCTTTATAGGAGAAAACTCCATGCACTATAATGGAGTCGATTCCAACTCAGAACAACCCTCTATTTGGTTTCCAAGGTTGTAAATCCTTGTGGGAAGAAACTGTCCAGCTTTCTCCCAAGAAGCAACTGGTGGATTTCAACTGCTGACCTTGAAAGGTCACATAACATGCCACCAGAGCTTCAGGAGTTGTTAGGAAGGTTCATATGGACAACGACTCATAGTGACCCAGTGAGCAACAGATTGAAACTTTGTCCTACCCTGCCTCATTATCCTGATCTCTGCCATGGTCACATCCATTGGTAGGTCACTGTGTCAGTGCATCTTGTTGAGGGTCTTCCTCTCTTGCTGACCCTGCACCTTTCCCAACAGGATGAATCTTTTGCAAAGGTGTCTTCTGACAGTATGCCCAAAGTGTGTGAGGTAAAGTGTGACCATCATTGCCTCTGGAGAGCACTCTGATTTCACTTCCTCCAGCACACATTTGCTCAGTCTGTGGTATATTAAGTACTCTTTGCCAACACTGTACTTCAAAACCATCAGTTCTTTGGTCCTCCTTGTTCATGGTCTTAACTTTTCTGTGCATATGAACCAATTGTAAATACCATGGTGTGGTACTCAAGCACACCTTCATCTTTTTTTTTTTTTTTTAATGTCATTTTCTCTCCCCCATTTCCTCATTAAGAATTCATCTCAAAGATCTTAAAAATGATTTATCGCACCAAATCTTAAGACAAAGGACACTGGACATTAAGAAAGAGGTCCACCCTAGTCTTTCCAATCTGGTGCAGTTACTTTTCTTCCTGTGTGTACTCTGCTAGCATTATTACAAAAACCAAGACATAGTCCTACACACCTTCATCTTGAGACTGATATCCTTGCTCTTTAGCACTTTAAAGATGTCCCTGGCAGCAAATAAGACCAGTATACCATGTCTTTTGATTTCCCGACTGTTGCTGCTTTGGGTGGGAATTATGGATCCAAGTTAAATGAAATTCCTGACAACTGTAATCTTTTCTCCATTGATCATGCCTGTTGGTTCAGTTGTAAGAATTTTTTTTTTTTTTTTCATTTATGTTGAGGTATAATCCACATTGAAAGCTGTAGGGTTTTTATCATCTTCAGTAAGTGCTTAATCTTCACTTTCTGAAAGCAAGATTATGTCATCTGCATAACACAAGTTGTTGAAAAGTCTTTTAATCCTGATAACGTTCTTTACATAGTCCAGCTTCTTGATTTGTTCACCTTTCTATATTTTTTCCATTAAATTTTTTTTTATTAATGAAAGTTTACAGAGACTTTGGATTTCCATTCATTCATTGTTGCACTTTTCGCCCTGCCCACCCCACCAATTCTCTCTTTTTGAAAAGTAAGTCACTATTATACAATCCCTCCCCCCACCTTTCTATGTTTTAAACTATGCAGAATTCCCTTGTTCTGATATCTGCTTCTTGGTCTACATAGATTTTCCATGAGCACAGTTAAGTGTTCTTTCCAATCCTATCCATAATTTATTATGACCTGCGCAATCAAACGCCTTTTCATAGTCAATAAATAAACACAGTAGATATTTTTTTGGTATTCTCTGCCATCCATAGAAATTAGTTTCCTGGTGAGCTCTGGTGGCCTAGTGGCAAGAAACTGCACTGCAATTCCAGAGATGTGAAGTTTGAATCCACCAGATGCTCTGCTGGAGAAAAGGAGGGACAATCTCCTCCTGTACCAGTCAGATCTGATTTGATGGTACACACATTTAAAAAAAAAAAAAAAGAAATTAGTTTCTTGTTGCTGTACCTGTTGCAGCTATCTTTGAGTAATCTTTGGCAAGATTTTACTTGCATATAGTTTTGATATTGCTTAATAATAAGTATTATGTTAGAATAGACTATTATTAATAATAGAATTCTGCTAGATCATCCCCTTTTTTTAATGGGACCTAATGGATCTTTCATACAGTTTACCAAGTACCAGATGGCATAGACTACTGAGGGAGCATTGGTGGCTTACTGGTAAGGAACTGTGCTGCCAACCCAAGGACATGGCAGTGGAATCTACCAGCTGCTGCGTGGGAGAAGAATGGACAATCTGCGAATTACTGCTTCCTAAAACAGGCTGGAGAGTCAGCTATAAGTCAGTTCTGACTCCACAGTACAAGGTAACAACTAAGCATGTCCAGAGTTGCATCAGATTGCTGAAATATCTCAACGGGTATTTTCTGAATTCAGCGGGTATTTTGAGCCTTCTTTTTTGCCAGTGCCTTCAATACAGCTTGTACTTTATTATTATTGGTTCTTGATCATAAGCTACTTGAAATGGTTCAGTGTCACAATGAATGCTTTTTGGTGCAGTGACTGAGTATTCCTTCTTTTTTTGATGCTTTCTGCCTCATTCGGAGGCTTGAATTTGTAATTTTTTTTTTCTTTAAATTTATTTTTTTTTATTTATTTATTTTTTTGTAATTTCATTTTTAAACTTGACACATGCCAAAAGCCCTTTTTAGGAGCAGTCTCTTGTTACATGCCGTTCCAGTTGAAGCCAGACCATAACCGACCCTCCGGCGGGTTTTCAGAGGCAGTTAATTGCGTAGGAGGACAATGCCCATCCTTCTCCCACAGAGCCTCTGGTAGATTTGAACAGCACACCTTTGGGACTGCAGTGCAACTTCTTACCATTAGGCCATCTAAGGGGGCAGTCATTTGTTGTGTACCACAGCATCAGAACCGACCCGTAGCTGACTCTCCAGCGGGTTTTCAGAGGAAGTTAATTGCAAGGGAGGAGATTGCCCAGCAGAGTAGCTGGTGGATTGGAACCTCAAACCTTTGGGATTGCAGCACAGATTCTTGCCATTAGGCCACCAAAACTAGAGGGCTCTAAACTCAAAGAGTTTGGAACTCAGGAAAAAGATTGGAAGGGTTGTGGTCCCAGCAGTTCTGGGCTCCTTGTGAAACTCCAATGACCAGTTGCAAACAGGTGTGTCCACCTCCCCGGCAAAGGAGTCAAAATAGCCAAGATCGCCGGCTTCCCGGACTACCATTCCCAAGAGGCTTGGCGGCGCGGCCTCCGCCTCTATTCAGATCTTCCCTTTGCTTCCCAGGCCCGGGCGGGGTTTTGCACCCTCAACCGAGCCTCACTGGAAACCAGTGAGGCGTGGCCACCAATGGGCAAGGACTTTGTGGGATCTAGCCAATGGGAGCACGCGAAGGCGCTGGATTGCAGGGGTGGGGCTAGAGGCGGGACCAATGACGGGGGCCGTTGGCGCCATCAGTGTGGGTTGTGCCGTGGCTGGAAGTTACTGTGCGGCGGCGGCAGAGAAGGCAGCTGTGGTGGCGGTGGCTGAGGAGGTGGCTGTGGCGGCGGCAACAGAAGATGGTGAGTGCCACTGCCGAGCCTGTACCCCTCCTTCGCCCTACAAGATGGCACCGCGAGCCAGCCTCCATCCCAGTAGCCCCCAGGGCCCCTCACGGCTCAGCCCCCTCGGCATAGGCCCCTGCCTGTGGCCCCGCCCCCCACTCACCTCTGACCTTCGACCCCCGGGCCCTATCTCACGCTTCCTACTAACCCCGCCCAAGCTCCTTTCTCGGTCCCTTACCACTTCTGAGCTTCGAGGCCCTGACAACTCATTCGTTTCCGGGTCGCGGCCCCCTCCGGAAGTCGTTTGTGCTGGGGATGGGGTCCACTAAGACCCCTGGTTCCGACCTCGTTCGCTGCGCTCCGAGGCTCGGCCTCTCCACGTCTGCAGGACTTGGGGGGGTCGACCTGGTGGTCGCGGGGAGGGAGGCCGCTTAGCATCAGTGCATGGCCGGGCTGTGTCGCCAAAGGAAGTGCGACATCGCGGACTGCTTCGGTACCCCGGTCTGGGTCCCACCCTCTCTGTTCAAGCCCACTTGCCCCTGGGGAGGGAACAGCAGCATCTTGGGGATCGTCAGGAGCTGCCCCTGTCAAAGGAGACCACCGTGGTCCAGCCCTCCAGGATTGATGCCGTTGAGGGCGACTTAGGGCTGGTGACACGCTTCACAGCTGGCTTCTTAACCTGAAATGAGGATCCCAGTCATGCTGATTGGTCGTTGGGAGGTTTGAAATCGTCTCTGCCACTCCAGCGCCCTGCGGGTTTGGGTCTGGGGGCTGTTCTGAGAAGGACTTCGTCCCAGAGTTTTGCCGAAGTCACTGTTTCCAACACTGTTGGGCATCCCCCATGGTGGGCAGGGGAGGGGATTCTCAGGGCAAGTTAAGACCCCATTGCCCACTGCCCCAAGACCCCAGTCTGCATCTCTAGGTGGTGGAGGCAGGTAGAGGAGGAGGAGGAGATGGGAAAGTGGGTCTTCAAAGCTCAGGCCTCCCCGAGACAGTACCTTCCCACACCCTGCCACCAGAAGGTTCCGTGGACTGGCAGGGCCATCGCCCCTCTGGTCCCCTGCTTCAGCTTTGTCTCGATCCCTCCCTGTTGATAGTTGCTGCCGAATCGATTTAGAATTTGTGGATCCCTGTCCCTAGCGCTCTGGTGGTAAAGTCTGGAGCTGCTGTGCAGCTGACTCAAAGGCTGCACCTCTCTGGGCTCTCTGAGGGAGAAAGATGGACAGTCTCCTCTTCGAGTTGCCCACAAGAGCAAGCTACAGGGTCAGCTATGAGCGAGAACAATGAGGGAGAGATGTGTAAGTAGCCTGTACCGTGAAAGATTTTCAAGGTTGTCCCCTTTGGAAGCAAATCCCCAGGCCTTACTTGCAAGACAGATGGCCTTAGTGGGTTCAGACTGCCAACTTTTTAGCTAGTCGTTGAGCGATTAACTGTGTGAGATACCCAGGGACTCCCAGTCTTGACTCTGGCAGTCCGTGATTCACCTGGGGATTAGAGGGAGTTTTTAAATGCAGATATTAGATGTTGTTCTTTTCTCACGTAAAATATGCCTGTGTTTCCTGGGTGAAGTCTCAGCTCCCCACAAGGCCCTGCAGGCCCAGCCTCTGCCACCTCTGTGACATCATCTCACCTTTGTCCCCCCTCCTGGGTGCTTTAGCCACACACTGGCTTTTCTTCTCACTCACCGAAGTCCTAACTACCCCTGGGCCTTTGCACTTGCCATTCCTGCCTGGAATGCTCTTCCTGTGAAGTCACCTTAGGGAGACCTGTGTTGACCACAGATGCCTAAGCTCTTTCAGTCCTGACTCACTGTTGCTTCTTTTCATTCTTTGTTGAAGCTGAGTCTGTATTGGTCAGTGGTGGGTGACCCACGTGGTGGGGATTGATACACAGATGTTCATTGGATCAGTTGAGGAAATGATGCCTGGGATTTGACTGGCTTGATGAGGATGTCTCCCTGTCAGGAGGGCTTTGTTCTCCAACTTACTCTGTACTTCCACTCCGTGCATGTCTTTCACACAAAGACAGGATATTGACTCCTGTCTTCCAGGGAGCTCACTGCTGGCTCTGTCTGCCCGTTTGTGTAACTCTAGTGTGAGCTCCTAGAGACTCAGAACAGCCCTGGGTGGAGGGTTTTATGGGGATGGGTAGCAAGATTGGGAAGTCTCACATCCTAGTTACACAGTTAAATAGGGGCTACATTAAGGCTGAGTGTAATAGCCCATGTCAGCCTGGCCAGGGGCCTGGGCCAAGCCAACTCTTAGGTTTTCTGCCCTCCATCTGTGATTGAGAAGTGCCAGAGCGAGAGGGGATGTGTCTGTAGGTGGCCACAGAAGGGAGTGAGGCACTGTGACCAAGATCCCTGAGTGGTGTGGGGAGAGGGACAGGGCAAGGAGTGGACTTTGAGCTGGGATTGGATAGCAGGCTGTTGGTGGGTGCTCTATGTGGAGAAAGGAGTGTTCCTGGAGGTAGCACAGCACTAGTCTTACAGCCAGAGGTGTCAAGGCCGAACCAGACCAGGTGTTAGACTGTGTCCCCAGAGCCCTCGGGCCTGTGGAGAGGTCTGAGCATGGCAGGACTAGAGCAGGCACCCTCCTCACCCTTCAGATCTAGCTAGGCCTCTGCCCCCAATATCACTTGAGGCTGCTGATGTTCACCTGTGCGGTTCTCTGGTCCACTTTGGTGGCCTCCACAAGGAGGGCTCTTAGGCCAGAAGTAGTGATGGTTCCGCAGCATTGGACTTTGCTGCTCCTGCTTGCCCTAGGGACAGAGGCTGGGGTGGGGAGGGTCTCTGGCAGCCTGGCCTCCTGGGTGGGTCTCCAGGCTTTCAGGAGGAAGCTCATACTCCTTGTGGGCCCCTCCTCCAGCCATGTCCTCGGGCATTGGCAGCCTTTGAGCATTGGCAGCCTGCGGGTAGGGAAATGGAAACACTGGCGGACCATATAGAGGAGCAGCCTAGCCTTGAAGCTGGTGGCCTTGGACAAGTGATATGTGACTGCTTTACCTCAGTTTCCCCATCTCTGTGATAGGTAACACCAGATCCTGCCTTGAGAACTTTAGACCTTGTTAGTGAGATGTTTGGTGAGTCCCCAGTCCCAGGTGAGTCGTACAGGGAGCACCATATGGACACACCCCTCCGGCCTGCCTGGCTGACCTGCCCAACCTGATTTACAGCCTACAGCCTGTCCCTGCCTTCAGACCCAGTCCCCAGCCTGCCTGCTCCCATTTCTTGGAGGTGGTCTTTATCCTTTCCACTTGATGGCTGGAGGTCTGTGAAAGGCACACACTCAACCCACTCAGAATTAGGCCGTTTCCACACCAGAGTTCCATACAGGCTAGGGCTTGTCAGATACTAGCACATTACACCAGTCTTTGGGCTAGTAGTCCAGCACTTAACCATTTGCACAGTGCAGGAACTCCTGTTGGAATGAACAAATCTTTCTCCATCCCCAAATCCATCAAAGATGGAATGACTGATGCTGGAACTAAGAGCAGCCTTGTGTTTCCTGGGTTACTATGTTAACACCCTGACTACAAAGGACAGCTGTCAGTGATCCCTCCACTCGGACAGTCTCATCCATCAGCTACTTATCAGAGGCAGGTCTCTTGGCTGTTACAGGCCTGATCTTCCTGCTATTAAACTTGCTGTGTGATCACAAGCAAGTAGCTTGCCTTCTCTGAGCTTTGCTTTCCTTACCTCTTGCGTGTGAATAGATAATTGCAAGGACCTACAGGAAAAACCTTGCAAAGCACTTCCTGCCTCATTGGTTGGTTTTTCTTGGGTCGAGACATGTCCACTTTGGGCGGCCAGCCTCAGGGTACGTCACACAAGAGAGAGAAAGCAGAGGCCTGACTGCTTCTTGGCTGCTGCATGCCTGTCTGTGTATGTGTCCTTTCCTGTGTCTTCCAGGCCGATTTTCTGAAAGGATTGCCTGTCTACAACAAAAGCAATTTTAGCCGATTCCATGCCGACTCTGTCTGCAAAGCCTCAGTAAGTTTGTGTCCGGGGACTGCTGTCATTGAGAGCTGCCAGGTGGGGGGAGATCGAGGGGAAGTGCACTCCCTGAGTGGGGTCTTGGAGGAATTGGAGCTGCCCTGCAGTCCTAGCCTTGCCAGAGTTCCTTCTGGGCCACCCTTTGACGGGTGCAGGGATCGAGGCCTGCTACATTCAACCTTTCCCATCCTTCAACAGAACCGCCGGCCTTCAGTCTACCTGCCTACGCGGGAGTACCCATCTGAACAAAGTAAGTTGCTTCTGTCCATCCAACTGTTCTAGGCGGGTCCAGATGCTGCATGGCTGTGGGACCTTGGGTGTTCTCAGGGGGCCTGGGAGGCCATGATGTGCTAGACTGGTGTGCATGTAGAAGACTTGGTCTGCTCCTGCCCTTGGGGACACCCACACATCTGCATCAGGCCCAGTTCCATGTGGCACCTGCAGTGTCCTTTGAATCCAGGCTGCCCTTACTGACCCTGAAATGGTGCCTCCTTAGCCCTCTCCACCTCCTGCCTTCCTTCATATTGGGAGTTCCCTGAGATGTCTCCTCACAAGACTTGGGATTGCTCAGTTCTAGTGTCCTCAGGGAGACAAAGTGCTATCCATAGTGCAGGGTGCTGGGCGACACGGCTGCCAGGTAGAAATCCCCATGGGACAGAAAGAAGGACCCCAAGGTGGTGTTTTTCTTTTAACTTTAAAAGAGAATTCATGCAGACCCTCCGGGTTGGGCAGTACAGTCTCTGGGCGGACATGTGGATTCCACTTCCTGTCAGCGTGGAGTGGGATGCGTACACAGCATCTAGGACTGACAGGGCAGTTGACATAGGCCCGTGTGGATTTCTGGAAACCTCCAGAAAGGCTACCCTAGGCAAGGGGTGCAACTGCAGAGGGCCTAGTCTGTCAGCCGTAGAGGTGGGCATTCCCTTGATGAGCACCTGAGGACTGGTCCCAGCTGAAGGACAAGGGCGCCTCAGCTTCTCACTGGCCTTTCTTGTGATTTCTTGTCTCTCTTTCTTAGTCATTGTGACAGAAAAGACAAATATCCTCTTGCGATATCTACATCAACAATGGGACAAAAAGGTGAGGCCTCAGGATCCAGGTGTCAGTACTAGGAGAACCAGGTGTTTGAGGGGGGCTTTGAGAACCTAGTAGGAGTTCAGCAAATACTCAGGAACCCGGAGGAGCATCTCAGCACAGGAGGAGCTGTGCTGAGCTGACCAGGCTCTGGTACTTAGGGAACAGCAGAGTCCAGCATGTTGGGTGACCACACTGGAGGTCCTTGGGAAGCAGATGATGGCAACTTCAGTCCCTAGGATGGAGTGCCATTCCGGGGCATGGTGTGCTTTTCTGGGTATCTGTGGGGTTCCCTCCTTCTCGAGCTTGCGTTTGTGTGGCTTGGGCGGTTTCTCGTTTTTGCCTGCGTGTCTGTCCTTTTTTGTGGCTTGTTGCTGGTTTGTTTTTCGCTTTGCGGTTGCCCTTGGGTGCCCTGGTGTGGTTTATTGGCGCTGTGTCTTCTTCGTGGACTTCCTCTTGCTTTTTTTTTTGTTTTTTCCGGTGAGGGGAGGTCCTCTGCTGTCCGTGGTCTGCCGTTTTCGTGTGTTGTGTGGTCGCTGGCTGTTGTGGGCCTTTTTTCTGCTGTTGTTGGCTGTCTACTTGGGAGGGGCTTTTTTCTGTTTGGTTGTGGAGTCTGTTTGTGGCTGCTCAGCCCGGCGTGGTTGAGTTTACCTTGCTTGGCGGGTTTCCTCCTGTGTCCAGCATCGTTGTGTCAGTCAGTGCACATGTCTTGTTGTGGTCTCTTGTTGGGCTTTGGGGGCTGTCGCAGGTTGCCGCTCCTGTCGCTGCGGCGCGAGTGGAGCTGGGGGGTGAGAGCTGGGGGCCGTGGCGCTGGATGGCGCGGGCTCAGCTCCTCCGGGCCAGGTTGGCCGGGCCGGCCGGCCGGGCCTTGCTTGGGGCCCTTTAGGCTTCCCCTTGCCTTCCTTGCTTCTTTTTTTTTTTGTTCTTGCCGTGCGTCCGTGCCCACCCTACCCCTCCCCTCCCACTGCCCACACCGCGCCGCCCACACTGCCTAGGAGCTGATGTATTTATTTTCCTCGAGTTTTTATTTATGCTGTAAAGTGTACCCAGCAATGGTTAAAACGGACGTCAGACCCTGTAGTGTGATGTCGGTAGATGCTTTTTTTAAGAAAACCAATTGTTATTTTCCCCACCCAGCCCACCTCCCTTTGTTCCTCCTGTTTTCCTCCTCACAAATGGAAAGGTGGCCAAGAGCGTAGGAGCCAGGGTCCCCAGCCTCCTGGCCCACAGGGACAGTGAGCAGCCTTCCCCCATTATCCACCTGGTCGCTGGCCCAGGCCTTTCAGATGTGGCCTGGTCTAATGTTCCACTGAGAACTCTTCTGGGCCCAGATCAGACTTGCTCTGAGCGTGCTCATGGGGGCAGAGAAGCCCTTCTGGAATTTTCTCTTCGGTCATTTTATCATGGACTAGTGCGTGCTCCGTGTCCACCCCAATAAAAGGATCTTTCCTATCAGACCTTGAGTCTTTGGGAGGCGTCTCATGGCCACCAGGAAGAGCCAGGAGGGGACTCGCCAATCCTGGGGACCAGCCAGACTCCTGTGGTCCCGCTGCAGCTGCCTCGCTTAGAGCAAAGACCCGCGGAACTGCTCCTCTACCTCACCTGCCCAGGTGTGTCTGTGGACCAGGTCACCTGGAAACAGTCTACCCTACCAAGGACAGAGCTGTGGCCAGGCATTGTTCCCTGGACACTGCCTAATAGGGCGGCAGTGGAGAGACCAGCCATACATGTTGTACCTGTCTGCACAGGATATCCGTTTGCACAGGGCCTGGGGTCTCGGCTCTCCCAGTATGATGACTGCAAATGGTCTATGGCCCCTGTGTCTTGGGTCAGCAAGACCGCTGTCCCTGATGCAGCCACCTGTGGTGGATGTGGTCAGCAGCACCCCCTGGAGACCATCCCTCAGCTGAAAGGGCTGGGTGTGGGACGTGGATACCTCTGGGGAATACGTCCCTGCGAAGCTTGGGGCAGTGCCACCTCTACTGCCCATCTCTTCCAGTGGGGACTGCAGTGTGGGAGCCAAGCAATGGGGTCAAGAGAGGATGAAGGGCCATGCTTTGGAGTAGAAGACAGTTGGCTGAGAGGGGCCCCCACCCTAGGTTGTCCTGTTGCCTGGACTGCCAGTTCTCTTTAATAAGGGAGTGGTCCCAGGTCTCCTGAGCCTGAGCTGGTCAGCCACCCTAGGAACTCCCTTCACACACCAACAGATGTGACTGGGCTCTGTGGTCCCCTGGACACATCTGGGGGTGCCCAGGGAAAGCAAACCTCACTGTAGGTCAGTGCCTCCAGTTCCACATCCCCATTTGAGGTCTCTTCCTACTGTCTTCCTTCTCATGCTGGGCTCACTCCTGGGATGGACTTGGGGCTATTCCTGTTCAGCCCTCCTGTGGCCTCACTGCTGGCGAACTAACTTGGAACCAGACTTGCCCCTGCTCATGTACTATCCATGGTTCCCATCCTCAGGAAAGGGTCTCTGACAGCCTCTGCCCACCTCCCCACCTTGTGCTCCTCTCCCATCTGTGCCCCCACCACTCTGCCTCCCACACCTCTGTGCCTTCGCACAGGCTGCAGGCTGGCAGTGAGCTGCTCCTGGCCCTCTCCACAGAGCCCCCTCCTCACTGCCCAGCTCTGGCCAGTAGCTGAGGCCCATTCAGTCCTTTGCTTTTGTTTGGACCAGACCACAGTGAGGGTCAAAGGTCACATTTAAGGTCAAGCGAGGAGTCTGGTTGGGGGAGGGGAGCCTGTGGGCCAAGACCCCTCCTCTTTTCCTTTCATCCTGCCTGGTGCCTTCTGATGCCATACCTCACCTTCCTGGGTCCCCAGAGGGCAACCTAAAGAGATGGTGTGCCAGGTAGGGCCACCTCTTAAAACCCCATCACCTGCACAGCCATCACCGCCCCCTCTCCATTGACCCACACCCCTGGTCCTCTGACTGCCTTCTTGTGATGGCAACTTATCTCCTCTAGGTGGCTGAACCCATTCCTAGAGGCTCTACAGCTGTTCCCAAGGGACCCCAAGTATGAGGCCAGCCCCCAAATCTGGGCCGTCTCATAGGCAACAGTGACCTCGAACTTTCTATTTGTGGCCCTGAGTCCCAGTTCCAGGGGGGAGGCCTGAACATGGTCTCATGTAAGAGGTACCCAGCCCAGCCCCTCCCACAGCGCTGACCCCAGGCACTGTTGAAATATACTTTTTATTGCATTTCTGCCGTTTTACAAAAATATGACAAAATAAATTAAAAACAAATAAATAATTGCCTATTCTGTGTGTGTGTGTTCTGTTGGTTTGGGGTGGGTTCCTTTTATTCCCCTCCTCCCAGTCAGTCGAAAGGACAACGGCAGATAGGGTGGCCCTGGCCCTCGAGGGGGTGGCTGGCCCTGGGTGGGTATTGCATATGAGCGAGTTGAGTAGGTGGGCATTGAGCTAGTGCCAGCCACTGGGCCAGCACAAGGCCTGGGGGCTCGGGCTGGGTGCCGGCTCAGAAGATTCAGGGTGCTCTGAGGCAGGTGGTGGAAGGGGCAGGAGACTATAGAAGCTGGCGTCCCCTGGCAAGGGCTGTGGGGCAGGTGGTGGCCCAGCGTGGGCACAGGGTGGGCACTCGGCAGCGGCGGCAGCAGTGGCAGGGACCTGGCGTGGGGCAGTGCCCTCGCCCCCGCAGCCCCATGGCCCATCCCACTGCCAGCAGCCAGTAGGAGGTGGCGTCAGGGGCCGGGGTGGAGGCGGTGGCGGTGGCGGCGATGGCAGCGCAGGGCTCCGGCTGCGGCGGGTGCGGAGGGCAGGGGTGCCCACTGGGGCCAGCGCTGTCCCTGCGGAGGGGAGAGGGGCCGTTCCGGGGGGGTGCCGCCTGCGCCGCCGGACCCAGGACCCTGCCCGCTCTCCCTCCCAGGCGCAGAGGCACGTCAAGGCCTTATTGCTTCTGGTTGGAGGCCAGGTGGGGTGTCTTCAGAGCACCCCCTGCCTCAGGGCACTGGGGACAGACAGTCTAGACAAGTCCTTCCTGCCATCTGACCCAAGTCCCATTAACTTCAGCGGTCACCTCTCAGACTCCCAGGGGCTGGGGTGAAGGCAGAGAAGGAGGTAGGCCGGGCAGGGCCTCCACTGGATGCCACTGGATGTGGGTGTAGCCTGGAGCGGAGTCCCGAGACCCCTGGGTGGGCAGCCCCAGCCCTGCCTTAGAGGAAAGGCTATGGGAGAGGATTTGCATAGAGGCTAGGGGGTCTAGGCCCCCCCAGAGTGAGCTGGGTGTGAGGTCTCAGGGGTGAGGAGCTTCCCTGTGGGGGTGCTCGTGGGGTGCTTTGGCATCCCTGCCAGGGGGTGGAGAAGATCAGACATGTGGCTCCCAGCTTTCGAGGGTCCCCAGAGAGACTCCACGCATCAGATCCCCAGGTCCCCAACCAGCACCACAGACCGGGGCCACCTCTGTCCCCAGACCCGGCCACCCTCCCAGCCCCAAAGCCAGGCCCGGCTTCCCCCACCCCCGAGTTAAAGCTTATGACCTGAGGCTTCCTCCTCTGGCCGGGCGGCCTCCAGCTCCTCTGCCGCGGCCTCGTCCGCCGGCCCACTCCGCTGGGGCCGGCCGCCGCCGGAGATCCCGTCCAGCCGGGCCTGCCCGCCCGCCCCGTTGGCCCCGGCCTCGGCCCGGGCCCCGCCGAAGGGAAAGAGCTTGCCGGCGTGGAAGGCTTTGGGCGGTGAGTGGCTGCGTTGTTCGGGGTCCCGCCGGGTCTCGGGAGACTTGAGGAACTTGAGGAAGGCAGGCAGGCGGGTGTCACTGCCCGTGGGAGACTGGGCGGCAGCTGGCCTGGCGGTGGGGCTGGTGCCCGAGGCGGCCGGCGAGGCTGCGGCCCCGGAGGACAGGAACTTGCCCTGCAGCGGGATGATCTGCTTCAGCTTCATGACATTGTTGGGTGCCAGCAGCGAGCCTGGGCGCTTGGGCCGCTCTGTGCCGTGGCCGCCTGCCCCACCGCCCTTGGCCTTGCTCGAGGCCTTATCGGGTCCAGCGCTGGGGTCGAGCCCGGAGCCCTCCGGTCGTGACTCGTCCCGGGAGCCGCTGGTGTCGCGCTCGCGCCGGGCGTGATGCTCTGCGTGCCGCTGACGCTCCTCCTCCTCCCGGCGCCTGCGCTGCTGCTGCTGGAAGTGGTGCTGAGCTTGGCGCTCGTGCTTCTGTGGGCAGAGCACGTGGTGTCAATGGCAAGGCTGAACCGGCATCATACAGAAGCCGAGCAGTAGAAACATTTATTAATAGGGCTCAGACTGGACCCCTGGGCCTACGCGGGTTGAAACTGGAGGATGTAGGAGGCATTTAGCGAGCTCTGGTGGCATTCGTCCACAGGGAGTTGTACTAACTCAAAGGCTAAGACTTTGATGGTGGTTCGAATCTAGCTGTGGTTCCACAGGACAAAGACGAGCAAAGGCCTCCCCTGGGATCTACAATGGAGGGCCAGTTATGAGTTGGTTCAAATTATATCGCAATGAGTTAATTGAGGAGACATTTAAACACTTAGTGGCCACCAGTAGACTTCTCAGCACCACACTGACACATTCTGCCAAGGAGGGGAGATTTTAGCACTTAATGAGTGACAGTTGGACACGGACTGCATGTCACAGAATCAAAAGAGGATGAGCATCTATCGGCTTCCACCTTTGGCCCTAGATAGGGGCAATATCCCTTCTTGGAAACTGAGAGAATCATAGCCAAATACGGGGTCTCAACTAGTTCTGTGAAGTGGAGCCCTGATTGGGGCAGAAAGCACTCTTTTGAAGCTACCAAACCAGACAGCCAAGCTATAGAAAATAATGTGGCGAAAAATTCCCTTGGACAGCGCTGGTGAGAGCCTTGGCCCACCCATAAGATGTCTGTGGAAAGAGGAAGAGGCTGGGCTTCTGGAAATATCAGCTGTGTCCCTGGACCCTGATGGACAGCTGGAGGGTGACGGGTCACTGAGAAATTCTAGATGGGGCTGGCACATTTGCAGTGCTCATTGAGACATCTCAAAGTGTCCTGCCTGCATGTTTGCCCTGGCGCCAAGGACACAGCCACTGAGATGCATCTTATCTTGTCACTTATCAGGAGAGAAGAGAGGAGCCCCACTGTGTGCAACGGGAGAGGGTGTCTGTGCCGGCTCACCTACCTTGAAGGCCTCCCGGCGCTGGTACTCCAGCTTGGCCATCTCCTCGGCCACCCAACCCGGGATGTCAGGGATGGCCACGTGGATGAGGTACTTGAGCAGCAGAGCGAAGTGCTGCAGTGAGAGAGAGATGCGGGATGCAGCCGAAGACTCCAGCCTACCCACCCCTCTCGGGTCACTCCATCCCTGGCCCCCAGCCCACCTCGAGCACCACCAGGGACACAATGGCGGCCTCCGGACCGAGCCAGGGGAAGAGGCGCTGCAGCTGTCCACACTGGCCAATCAGGTAGCAGTTGACCACAATAGCCAGCACGCCCATGGCCTCCATCACCTTCTGCAGGGTGGTGAGGGAGGGAGAGGCTTCAGGCAAGGCGCTCTGGGGGTGGGGGTGGGCGGGTTCTGCTCCTCCAGAGGACACGCCCCCACCCGGCGGTCCTGCCCTCTTCAGATACCCCCACCATTCTCCAGGTGGCTCCGCCCCTACCCAGATGGCCCCGCCCATCTCAGCTCCCTCCCCACCTGCCACTGGCCAATGCTCTCCACGCGTTGGCCAAAGGGTCGCTGCAGGCCCGTGCACAGCTTGAAGGCATCACTGCGAATCTCGATGAGATTGTTGATGAGGGCGCAGAGCGCAGCGAGCGGGAAGGCCGAGGAGAAGAGCACGACGTAGCCAAACTGTACGAACATCTCTTGGTAGTCCTGGAACGTGTCCTGCGGGCGAGCAGTGGGCGTGTGGGTGGCGAGGCCGGCTGTCAAACCCGGACTCCTTTCCTAGCCCCTCTCCCTACCATCAAGCTCTAGTCTGATGTGCACCCTCCTCAGGTTCCAGAATCCTGCCTGCCCTCGGCCTCTTCAGTCTGGCCAAGCCTTGAATTGTGCAAGGTGGCCCCTCCTACAAGCTCCCACCACCTCAGCAGCCGTGTCAACATCCTAACCACCCCAAGCCTCAATCTGCACACACACGTGAGTGTATGCACGTGAACTCACACTCACACACACATATCCAGGTCCCAGATTTACCCTCGGAGTATGTGTCCATTCTCATCTTACCTCACCCTCCATTGTGTAGTCACCCCTCCCAGAACCCACCTCTGCCTTCAGATCCTGTGCCCATCCTCTTTACTGCCTCTGCCCTCGGACATCATTCCCCTCTGTTCTGCTTCCTTCCTCAGACTGCCTCCACGCCAGCCTGACACCCACCTTCAGACTGCCCGTACTACTATACCTCTGCCCTCAGACTGCATGCCCTCTGGTCTGCCTCTTCCCTTGGACTGCGCCAATCCCAGCCTGACACCCCCCTCAGACTGTCCATGTTCTCTGCCCTCTGACGTGGGCCTCCAGCCTCGCCCTCCTCACCTCGTACTTTTTCATGCAGCTCTCCAGCTCGGCTTGCGTGAGCTGGGGTGAGTGTTCTTCCTCGGGCGGGTCAATCCAGGACGCCCGGTTCTGTCGCCGCTGGCGGCGGGCTGAGTCACTTGTGCCCGGCTCTGGCTCTGGGACCCCGTTGGGGCCCTGGTCGCGGCCCTCACCCCCAGCCCGGCGCAGCAGCACGGCAGTAGGATCGTGCTCGGGGCTGCTGGGGGCGCCCTCGGCCTCGTCATCGTCCTCGGCCAACGTGAACACACCGGGCTCCAGACCCTTCTCCACCATGGTGGGGCTGCCCTCCTCCAGCAGGGCCTCTGGGCTTGGGCCACGGGGCCGCCCGGTGCTCCGCTCTGCGAAGCTGACCTTCTTCAGCCGAAGCCCGCAGTCCAGGAGGCCACCGTCCTCCCCCTCCTCCTCTTCCTCATCGTCCTCCTCATCCTCATCCTCGTCCTCCTCCACCTCCTCTGGGCCCCCCCGCAGTCCCTCCCCCTCCTCTCCACCTTCTCCAGCTGGCCGCCGCTCCACTGTTGCCTCCTCTTCCTCTTCAGGTGCCCCACAGCCCCCACGGAGACACCTGCGGCCCCCTACACCACCACTGCCAGCCCCTTCCTCAGCCTGGGGTTCCAGGTGACGAGGTGCAGGGCACCGAGGTCCTAGCAGGCCCAGCAGGGCACGGGCCAGCTCCCAGACGGCCCGGAGGCCCAGCTCGCCATGGCCTAGCCGCCGGTACAGGTGTGGCTGCAGCACCTCACGCACGTTCTGAAGGAACTGGCGGGTGATGAGCAGGGTGGCCAGCATCTGATGACAGGAAGGGGGCAAGAGTGGCTGCGTGGGGGACAGGCAGGGGCAGGCACCCCCCCGCCCCCCAGGACACGCCTGCTGCCTCTCTTTTCCACGCAGGCCCTCCTTACCAGAGGCCCATAATTTAAGCACCAAAGCCACCAGGTACAGCCTTGCATCTGAGCAACCCCAGGGCCTTTGCACACCCTGCCACCTCCCTGCACTTTCCACCCACAAGAGTTCTGGCTATCACATGGCCTCACTGGCCAGGCCTCATGCTTGGCCCCCTTGATGCCCTCCCGTACTTTGGCCTGGGCTGCTAGCAGGAAGCCCCGGAGGGAGAGGAGGAGCAGGCGGAACCGCAGGGCCGCGAGCGGGACCAGTACTGCCCGCAGCTGCCGCTCGAGGCTCTGGGACAGGGACAGGATGAGCAGGAGCTGTGGAGGGACCGATTGACAGGAGGACAGACAGATGGCGCAGAGACAGGAAGAAAGAGGATGGACGCATGGACGCACAGACAAAGAGGAGAGAAGGATGGAGGACGGGGAAGGAGCTGGAGTCTGGGCCACCACATGTCCCCTCTCCCATGCCCTGGGTCCACCTCCAGGAGGCCTGGCACTCACCTCTTTGAGACGCTCCATGTCCTTGAGGTAGAAGCCAATATAGAAGAGGCTCAGGTACGAATTTACAAACTGAAACTGTGGGAACAGGAAGCAGTCACCCTGTGCTGGTCCCCGGCCCCCACCCAGAGCCTGCCCACCTGCCTGAGCTCGCTGCTCACCAGGACCACCTTGATGATAAGGTGCTTCTCGTAGGCGCTCTCCAGTCGGTAGTTCTCTGAAGGCCGAGGGGATGAGTCAGGGGGTGGCAGGAACCATGGGGAGGGGTGGGGCTTCCTCCCAGGGTGGGGATGGGTTTGGTGGTGGGATCGTTCCCTCACAGGGCGTACCCATGTCATTGAGCCAGATGGCAAGCTTTTTGTAGCCCTCAGCGCTGGCGCTGACCAGCACGGCCAGCATGACCTTGGGCAGGAAGCGGGCCAGACGGGGCAGCCCTTTCACGTTCAGCACCAGCTCCTGTGAGGGTGGGGATGATCACCGGGGTTAGGGCTCAGAGTGTGGGTGAGGGTGGGTCATTGTCACTCAGAGAGCAAGGCAGGGGTCACGGTCACCTGGCATCAGAGCTCAAGTGTGGGCCATGTGCAGGAGTTTCACAGTCCTCTAAGGCTATACTTGAGGGTCAAAGGGTCTCAGAGAGGGTTCACAGGTCACCCAAGGTCAAGGCTGGGGTCTAGCTTGGGTTAGGGCAGGGAGGGGCTGGACAGGGCTTCTTCTGTCATCACCTGCAGCTGGAAACAGCCAAGCATGAGCAAGAAGACACAGGCCAGGCAGGCCAGGCACAGCGGCAGGCTGACTAGCAGCTGGAAGAGCAACCGCTTCCAGGGCGGGTAGTAGAACTCCTCGGCTCTGGTCACTGGGCTGATGCGCCGGACACCCTGGGGGTCAGGTGGGGCGGCCAGTGGGAGGCTGGAGGGCAAGGCATAAGACCCCCCACCCGCCCACCCCTCCCAGTCCTCAGCTTCCCTCCTTTCTCTGCCCTTGCTTATGTGGTGTCCCTCCATCCTGCATGGTCTTCCCATTACGCTTGGGTGCAGAGCCTGACTAACCCTGAACTGAGGTCGTGGCTCCTCCACGGCTTCCCCTGGAGAGTCTAGAGTCCCCCACTTGTAGGCCAGCTCTGCCCCCCTCCGCTTCCACTCCTCCAGGAACAACGTGGACCAGACCACGTTGAAAAGGGCGAAGACCACGCAGGACACGTCTCGGCTTGTCTATAAGGGCAATGGAAGGCCAGGCATTGACAGGGGTAGAGTCAGGGTAGCTACTAGGGACCATGCCTCAACCCCCTAATCCCACCTCCTATCCAGTGTCCCCGCTCGCACCTGATCCGATTCCGTGAAGGTGTACAGCACTGAGCCAAAGACGGCCGGGTACACCATGGCCGAGGTGTAGAAGCCCAGCCAGGCGAAGTACATAGCGATCTTCACACCGAAATAGTCGCAGATCTCATCTATAGGGGCGGGGTCTTGGTCAGTCCCACCCACTGCCCCAAATGCCCGCCCACCTAACCCAGGTTAAGCCGCACCTAGAGGCTGGTTCTCGCACACCGCCTGCACCCACGATTTCATGAGGCGGTTCAGGATGCGCTGCTCGTGCACTGGGAACACCTGCTGGATGATTCCGCGGGCCGCCAGCTCGGGGACTGGGGGGAGGGGAGCGAGCTCCATGACACCTGCCCATCCTCCCCCATGCCCACCCCCTCACGCCGCACCCAGCCTAGCTGGCACCCAAGTCACAGCTTTTCGTCTGCTCCTAAACAAAGCGGCTCTCCTCTGGGGAGGAATTCTGCGTGGAGAGAATATTGATTCTCCTACAGAATTTGATAACTGCAAGGGCTGGTGGGTAGGGGAGTGGGGAAACTGAGATGGTGGAGGTCCTACTGGGGAGCTACAGTTTTAAATAAAGACATTTGGTGACTTTCAAAGGCTTCAGGTTCTGTTTCTGAAGTCTGAGGTGGGATATAAAGTTGGTATTGGGAAGTGAACTTGAAGGGGTTAGTTTCCTAGAGGAGAAACTGAGACCCAGGGTCCTCACTAGGAGTGCTGTCCATGGTCCTAACCTGCCTTCTCCCAGGTCCATCAAGGACCCCACTGGTCACACCCCCAAAGGATAAGCGCCACCTTTCCGCCAAGGCCCTGCCCCCTTGCTGATATATATTGGGTCAGGCTAAAGGATCCCCTCTCTGCTAGCTGATTGGCTCCAGACACTACTCTCCTGAACCAATAGTTGTAAGAGCCGGTCCCAACCTCCCTCTAGAATTGAAGGGCTGGCCCCGCTCTGCTCACTGATTGGCTGGTCCTCCAGGAAGCGCACGTTGTGCAATGCCTCGCCCTGTTTGGCTCGCAGGTTCTGCAGCCAGAAGCGGATGATGCTCTGGCGTTCCTGCAGAGGAGAGGGCATAAGCACAGGGCACAGGCGGGGGTCGAGTATGTGGGGTGTTGGGTATAGGATATAAGCTTTGGGGCACTGGAATGGAATGGGACTGAGGCACTGATGGGGCTTGGGATGCGGAGGGAGAGTTGGCGGTGGGCATGGTGCTGAGAAGGGGCGGGCTGGGGACAGGAACGTAGGATTTGGACATGGGGATGCAAGTAGAGGGGATATGGGCATAAGCCAGGAGAAGGGTGCGGGAGGTGGAGGTGGGATTGGCAGGCACTAGAGACAGGCCATGGGAGCTGAAGTGGCCGCACCTGGGAGGTGAAGAACCGCAGTTCACTTTCTACGTTCTCATAGATGAAATCTTCCTCGCAGGAGAAACCGCGTGTGCCCCCTCCAAACTCGGCCTTCACCGCTTTGCGCAGGCCCAGCTCATCGGCCCCTCGGAGCAGGCTGTGCAGAGAAAATGAGGCTCACTAGGAGGGTAGGCTCCCTATCCGCGAGTGAGGATGGTGGACCTGGCAGGGACGCACGTGGGGCTGCTAGACAGCTTGGCGCGTGCAAAGGCCAGAAGGTGGCCGATAGGGTCGAGAGGCTTGGCCCTGGGGACTCGCCTCTCATAGGTGGCGGTGACAAAGAAGGCGTAGGCACGCGTGTGGCGGTGGTGGCGGACTTGCACGATGAGCTCGGGGATGCCCACGCGGATGTGGTTCAGCAGCCATAGCAACGTGTGGTCATCGGTGGTGTCTAGCAAGGGGCACAGAGACCGATGGCTCTTGCCACAAGGGGCCAGATTCTCCTACAGACCTTCTCCCGAGGTCACCCTGTATGGACACCGGTGGGGAGCCTGGCTACCTGGGAAGGTCATCAACACGTCGCAGTTCTCCGTGGGCACCGTCTTCATCCAGGCCTTGTGAGATACCAAGTAACGTCCCGCCTGCAGGAGCCGCTTCCCGAAAAGCTTATCTGAGGGACAGGTGCACCACCAAGTCAGCCACTCTGGACAGGACCTGGTCCCTCCTCTCACACTCGCCAGGGCTGCTCAGCATACTCGGTGTTCAAGGCCATGGCTGGTTTCCCGCTCTGCACGCCTTTGCATCAGCTTCGGCCAGGATGCCCTGCCCCCAGGCCCTCCCTTACAAACCCTACTCATTCTCAGGCCCAGCTCCGCCTCCAAAGCCACAATCACGGGGCGCTCACTAGAGCCCTGAGTGCTGATCACCACATTATGTCAGCACTGGGTGCGGCTCTTACCCCCATTTCACAGGTGAGAGACTGAGGTCCAGAGTGGTTAAGTCACTTGCCCAAGGTCACACAGCCAATCTCAAATTTGAACCCAGAACCAATTTGTATCTTTAGCGGGGAGGACCTATTAAGAGTACCCTTCTCCCCCCTACCATATTCTACTGAAAGTGGTGAGGCTCAGGTCCCCAGTCTGGGGCTCTTGGAGAGAGGGGTGTGTCCAAGCCACGCTGGGACCCCCGCCGACTGCAGGGTCCATCCAGTTCCATCCGCCGGGCCGCAGCCGCAGTGCCGGGAGGGGCCGGCCCCCTATCTCACTGCTGGCCTCCAGACCCGGGACAGTAGACACCAGCATGCCCTCCCCGGTCTGGCCGCCCGGCGCACCCCTAGACACCTGCCAACCCTGTTGGGGTCCCGCTGCCGCGCACATACCCAGCACTCCGGATGCCGGGGCTGCCGGCTCGCCCTCGGGTGGGGGCCTCTTGCCGCGCTCGCCATCCAGGGACGTGCCCCCGGAGGCAGAGGTGGCCTCGGCCATCGTGAGAGCAGGGGCAGGTCAGGGGCTACGGGCGGCCCGGGTGCCGGGGGCCCGCGGGCTCATGGGGCCGGCAGCGCCGCGGAGCGTGTTAGAGGAGGAGACAAAGGCCTCGCCCGCCCGCGCCAGCCGCCGTCTCCGCGCGCTCGATCGCTGCTTCACGTCCCCGACCGCACCGAACCTCGATTCTTCTTCCCGAGCCCCCGCTCTATGGGACTCCCGCCCGCCTCATTATCTGTTTGCCGTCTCCGCCCGTGTTGTTTTCGAATGTCTCGTCTTCCCCGCCCACTATGTTCTATGGTTCACGTCTCCGCTCGCATTGAGTTCTTTGTCCCCGCCCCGCACCTCATAATACGTATGGAGGCCAACCATCTCCGCCTTGTAGCCTCAGTGCCTCCATCTAGAAACCTTGAAGGCGGTAGGCGCGGTTTGGTATCTAGGATGGACATAATTTAGTAGAACGAAGAGGATGTGTTATGCGAAGGTTGAGGAAATGCCAGGCCAGAACCACAATGACAATCATTTTAACAGGTGTATCACTATCATGATAGCAGTCAGACCTCAGGATCTTTGCAAACACCATTCCAGCTGTCTGGGCCACTCTTGGCTAGTTAATTCTGCCTCCTCCCTTCAGCCTCTGAAAGGACTCCCCATTACTCGGACAGATTTACAAACATACTGATCTCTTTAAATTCAGGTTTATGCTATTTTTGGAGTTGTTAGTTGCGGTCAAAAGGATTCCAGGTGTGTGCAGAGCAGAACTGAACTCCGTAGGATTTTCGCATCTGTGAACCTTCAGAAGCAGATTCCAGGCTTTTCTTCAGCGATGGCTCTAGTAGTCAGGTTTTTCATGCTTTGCGTCACCTAGGAACGCCTCAAATATTTTGCTAGCCAAACCAAATTACTGACCCCCACTGGACAGAACAGCCCTGGACGATTTCCAAGGCTGTATATCTTCCCAGGAGATTTCTCACATGGAGCACTGAAGGGCTTGAACCACCAACGTTTTGGTTAGCAGCTGAATGCTTAATTAACCACAGTGCCACTAGAATTAAGTTTTTAAAAATTGTGGCTAGTGTTAGGTGCCCTCGAGTCAGTTCCAACTGATAATGGCCCTATGCACAACAGAACAAGATGGAGCTCAGTCTGGCACCATCCACACTGTCATTGTTATGTTATGAGTCCCCTGTGTAGCCACTGTGTGAGTCACAGAGCACCTTTCTCTCTTTCTTCTTTATTTTACTAAGCACGATGCCCTCCTCCAAGACCTGGTCTCTCCTGATAATATGTCCAAAATGTGTGAAACAAAGTCTCAGCACTCTTGCCTCCATGACTGTAAATCTTGAAGGGGGGAGACTACCCACTCAAACTGCCCACCTTCTGGTTGACACCCTAACGCATTACACATTGTGCCACCAGAGCGCATCCAACTCTTCTTCGCCTTTCCTTATTCATTGTTCGCTTTCTCATGTGTGTGAGGTGATTGGAAATACCATGAGTTGGGCCATGTGTACCTAAATTCTCAAGGTGACAGACATCTTTATTCTCCACTTCTTTAAAGAGATCCTTGAGGGTAGATTTGCTCAATGCAATATGTCATTTTACTTACTGACTGCTGCTTCCATGGGTGTTGATTGAGGATCCAAGTAAAATGAAACGCTGGACAAAGCAAATCTTGCCTCTGTTTATCATGATGTTGCCCATTGATCTGACTGTGAGGATGTTTATTATCTTGGTGTTGAGCCATACTAAAAAGCTGTAATCTCTGATCTTCTTCGGTAAGTGTCTCATGCCTTCTTGGATTGCAAGTAAGCAAGGATCTTGATGGGTCTTTTTTCAATCCTGATGGCATGTTCTTCTTTATATAGTTCAGCTTCTTGAATTACTTAGCACATAGATTAGATAACTATGGTGAAAGGACACAGCCCTAAGACATACCTTTCCTAGTTGTTTTTTTTAAATTTAATTTTAATGAAAATTTACAGATACTTTGGATTTCCATTAATTCATTGTAGCACTTTTCTCCCTACCCACCTCCTCCCCCCCAATTTACTCTACTTCTTGAAAAGAAAGAAAAACTTTCATTGTTAGGCAATTCCTCCCCCTCCCCAAGTCCACTCTACTATGTGGCCTTCACTCTGGACTTATGTAATGACAATAATACCCATTCATATGTCCCTTTTAAACAGTTCTCTCCCTCATCTGTTTCAATGCAGTATATATTATTTCTCCCCTCCTTCTCTGTCTTCCCTCAACCCTAATGTCAGTCCCATTTTACAACACTGGCCCTATGCAATATTTGTCCTTTTGTGACTGAGATATTCCACTCAGCATAATGTCCTCCAGGGTCACCCATTTTGTATAATATTTCATGAGTTCTTTGTTTTTCAATGCTGCATAGTATTCCATTGTTTGAATACACCACAGCTTCTCTATCCATTCGTCTGTTGATGGGCACTTGGGTTCCCGCTCTTTGCTATTGCGAACAAAGCCACAATAAACATGGGTGAGCACATATCTGCTTGGGTGGCAGTTCTGGGTTTTTTTTTTTTAATTTATTTTGTGTGTGTGTACTGTCAAATCAGATTTGACTGGTACAGGAGGATATTGCTCCTCCTTCTCCGGCAGAGCATCTGGTGGATTCGAACCGTGTACCTCTGGGATTGCAGTGCACCTTCTTGCCACTAGGCCACCAGAGCTCCCCTAGTTCTGGTTTCTTTAGCGTAAATTCCCAGTAGTGGAATTGCTGGGCCAAATGGTATTTTTATTTGCAACTTTTTGAGAAAGTGCCATACAGCCTTCCATAGTGGTTGCACCATTTTACACTCCCACCTACAGTGAATAAGGGTTCCAGTTTCTTCACAACCTTGCCAGCATTTGATGTTTGCTGTTCTGTTAAATTTTGCTATTCTGACTGAGATGAGATGATATCTCATAGTTGTTTTCTTTCCTAGTTTTAAAACACAACGTGTCCCCTTGTTCCCTGGGAACCACCTAAACCAGTACCTCTTGGTATGTGTACCAGTCCCACCAGAGCACAATGAAGTGTTTTGGAAGCCCACTCTTTGCAGTGTTATCCATAATTTATTATGATTTATGCAGCTGAAACATTTATAACCATAGTTGATAAAGCACAAGCCAACATTGCACTGATATTCTCTACCTTCAGCCAACATCCCTCTGAAGTCAGAAATAATCTCTCTCTTTCCGTATCCTCTTACTAATTTCTGGGAGTTTCCTGTTGATGTATAGCTGCAGCCGTTTTTCAGTTCTCTTTAGTAGAAGTGGCTTTCCTCGGTGGTGTAATCGGTGGGCAGCTGTGCTGCTGACTCCAACCTCTCTGGACATTTCTCATCCATCAGGGACTCTGTGGGAGAAAACTGAACATTTTTCTCGTGTGTAATTTACCGCCTCAAAAACCCTCCAGAGGGTCAGCTAGGAGTCAGTTCTGACTCAACAGCAATGAGTTCATGAGTTTTAGCAACAGTTTACTTATTGTTGTGTGTATCAGGGCCGTGGAGCTGCCATCCCTCCCCTTCCACAGAAATGACCAAAGCAGCAGCTGCAACTCTGCTTATCTCTGTTAGAGCTGCAAAACCACTTTACCTCCCTTTCCCAAGAATGACTATCCACGACCAACCTGCTCTCCTAGCTTGTACCGAGCGGCTGCGAACATCCGAGCTCCTCAATTTCTTTATAAGACAAGATAAAACTCCATTCTAACTTTAAGTAGCTGCTGGTCTCTGCTTTAGAGCCAGCCCAGAAGTTTCTCCTCAATAAACTTTCTTTCTTGGCCTGTACCGGGTTCAGTTCTTCCTCTGCGATCTTACAAAGTGGTGCAGAATTGCCTGAGACTCATGGAGACCCTTTGCACAATAGCTCTAACCTCTCTGCTCTACCCTGAGCCAGTCTCACTGACTCCAGCACACCTAGCCACACTACCCCAGTTACTGTGAGCCAGTCTCACTGACTCCAGCACACCTAGCCACACTACCCCAGTTACTGTGTCAGTCCATCTCACCTGGGGTTTTCCTTTCCTGTGCTGTTATTAATTTTTATTTTTTTATGGTACACACCTGCACACCTGCCTTTATTTTGAGCAGAAGGTGGGATAATTCCAGTACTAGGTAATAAAAAAAAAATACTGGGGACCCAGTGAAGCTGTCAGAGTCACACCCCAGGTAGTCATATATAGAAGCTGATGCAGAGTAGCAGGAAGAGGACCACAAGGAGATGAGAAGCTCTTTGTAGCTATCCTGAGTGTACTTGGTAGAGGTTACCTCGTAAACCAAGAGCCAGGCAGTGAAGAACACGCCAGCGGCTCTCCTTGCCATCTTCCCTGTTCCTGTGGCAGCACAGCCCTGAAGGCCCGAGCTTTCAGCAGGTACCAGATCTACCCGGGGCATGGGAGGCGCTGCGCCAGGACCCCGGGAAGGTGTTCCAGTTTCTTAATACAAAATGACAGTCGGCATTCCTTTCCACTGGGTATCCAGGGTAGATAGATTGGACTGGCCTCTACAGAAGAAAGCACTAAAAGGGCCAATCAGAAGAAATTAAAAAGAAAAGAACCTGCCATGCAGTCAAATTCCATGCAGTGATGCAGAGGCCATCACTGGTGCATCTCTTTGCTTATATAATGGCCAAGAGGAATCAAAAGCCTGAGGTTAGAGGGACCTCTGGTGGCCTAGTGGCAAGAAGCTGTCCTGCAGTCCTGAAGGCCTGTGGTTCAAATCCACCAGATGCTCCACTGGAGGGGCAAGCTCCTGTGCCATTCAGATCCCATTCAACGGTGTGTACACACACACACACACACACACACACACACACCCTAAAGTGAGAAAGGACAAATGAGAACAAACATCATCAGAGAGGCGGAGGAAACAATGGAGGCCAAACAAACATGTAGAAAGGCTTAACGGCTGGTACCGAGGATTCCACAAAAGCAGTGCCTGAACAAACGTGATGCTTTTGAAAGTCTCTGCTCCCCGAATTGGTGGGACATAAGAAGCTGGCAGATGAGACTTAAATAAAGGTTCGATTATATTTAAAAAAGGGAACATACCAATGGCCAACAGCCCCACGGTCAGAGGGGGAAATAGCTGGTTTCTCTGGGCCGGTGTATCTGCTCATGGCCTTGAGCTCCATTTTGCCACATTCTGGGTAAGTGGTCGCTTTGCCACTGGAAGCCTGAATGATATTATTAATGTGAGAGGGACATCATGTTTGGGAGAGTGGAGGGACGGCGCAGGAGAGGAAGACCCTCGATGAGATGGATCGATTCTGTGAGTGGAGTGGTGGGAATGAGTGTGTTTGAGACAGCGAGGTTGGCACAGGATAGAACGGCGTTTAGGGTTCTTGTACAAAGTGTCGTTGTGAGTCGCAAGCGACTCGATGGCACATAACAACAAGAACACCAATTATTATAAAAAAGTAAAAATGTAATAATTATAGAATGATATTGTTGAGTTGTGGCTGAGCACCATCGAGCCGGAACCAGCCCATGGCTGACCCTCCAGCAGGTGTTCAGAGGCAGTTAATCACATAGGAGGAGATTGCCCATCCTTCTCCAGCAGAATGATATAATCATTAATGAGATAGATTGATTCAGTAACTGGGGTAATGGGGTTAGGTGTGTCGGTGACAGTAAGATTGGCACAGGATAGAGCAGGAGTTAGGGCTGTTGTACATAGGGTCGTTATGAGTTGCAGGCAACTCAACAGCACATAACAACAACAATAATTATATTATTAATATAAATATTAATTGGGAAAAGGATGGACAATGTCCTCCCGTGTGATTAACCGCTTCCGAAAACCCACTGGAGGGTCAGCTATGCATTGGTTCGGACTCTATGGTACACAACAACACAACATAATTATGAATTATAGTGTTTGATAATGTGTGTTCTGTTGGATGACTTCTTTGGACTGGACACATATATAAGTCTCTTTAATGAATATTTGGGTTTGATTTGGTTGGGGTTCTTTTTTTTTTTAAGTCAGTTGGCCACACAGCTGTTTCTCCAATTTTTTGGCATAGATTTGTGAGTGTTTCTAGTGTTGAAACATCACAATTAGCATTTCATCAATTCCTAGAGCCTTGTTGATGGGGAAGGTTTTTTGTGTGAATTGAGTAAAAGTTTGTAGAACAGATGGATTTTCTGTTAAACTACTCACACAGATTTTGTTTTATAACATTATCATCCCCAGGTTGCAACATCATTCTTCTCACGCCGTCCCTATGGTATCTTTTTTTTTAATTTCAATGGCACATAGCAACTATCTTTTAAATGACCTGTAGCGTTCTTCATGTATGATGTTTTTAATGTTGTTCTATTTTATTTAGGTGCCATCAAGTCGATTATGACGCATAGGGACCTTTCAAACAGCAAATCCGAATCTTGCCCTCTCCTGCACCATCTTTACCATTCTCTGTCATGTTCAAGTCTGCTGTGGTAGGCACTGAGACAATTCATCTCTTTGAGGAAGTCTTCTTCTCTTTTGTCGATGCTCTACCTTTCCCAGCATGAGGTCTTTGTCCAAGGATTGGTTGAGGGTTTTGCTCATTTTTTATTGTTCTCCCAAAAATGATAGGTTGCTGTTGTATGCCATGGAGTCTGAACCGAATCATAGCTGACCCTCCAGGGGGTTTTCAGAGGCAGTAAGTCACTCGGGAGGAGATTGTCCATCCTTCTCTCAAAGAGCCCCTAGTGGATTGGAACCGCTTACCTTTGGGATTGCAGTGCAGCTCCTTATCACTAGGCTACCAGCATTCCTATTCATACGACCTATTTGGTATAAAAAGTTATTAAGTTTCTAAAGTTGATGTTTAACTTGTGTCCTATATTTTGTCTCACACTTCTCCCTTCTAGATCACTCAGAAAGTGGCTTCAACCGTTAGACTAATGATCTGCGAGGACTGGGGTTGGAACTGATTCTCAGTGCTTGACACACAGTAGGCGGTTGATGTGTACCTGTGACAATTACTCAGAGGTAGCGAATGTCGTTTCTTACTACTTTATAGATGAAAAATAATGAAGGTGGTTGTGTGTGTTGAGGGGCGGGGGAGTTGGGATGCGCCTCAGATCGCAGCAGCCTGTCTGCCCGCCCGCCCAAATTGTTCAAAAACCAGAGAATTGACCACGCGGAGCCCTGGAACACCCCGCCCAGCCAGGTCCCCGGAATTCCACCATCAGCGCTTTATTCCGAGGGACCGGCGCTGTCCTGGGCTAACCTGAAGCTAATCATCAAGACTCCTTTTTCTGGTTTTCGCTGAGCCCAAGACAAAACGGACAACCAAATGCTACAGAACTGGGACAGGGAGAGGGTAGGGAAGCCCAGAGAGTGCTGTGCTCCAGAGGGCTGCGAGGAGTAGCCATTGGAGGTATTCTGTAAAGATGAATTTGTCAAAAGAAGAAAGGCATCCTGGGTTAAGAGAACTGCAAGAGGGAATGTTTGAGAAGGGCGAGGCAGTTGGAGATTTTGGGGGAAAGCAAGCTATCCCCAGGCCTGGGAGTGAGACGCTCTGTGTCTAAATCAAAACAAATCCATTGTCATCAAGTTGATTCCGACTCCTAGCGACCCTTGTGTATCAGTGTGGAGCTATGTCTAGAACAGAGTAGAAGTACGATTTTCAATAGCTGATCTTTCCAAAGCAGATTGCCAAGCCTTTCCTTTGGGGTCTCACTGTGTGACCTCCAATCTTTACGTCCGCAGCCCAATTCGTTTGCCATAACTCCTGCAGAGTGATGTAAGCTCTTCTTTCTTGGATAAAAAAAATTGAAAATAGGTGGTTGCCTTCGCTAAGGCTAAGTAGAGGCCTGGAAGAAGATAGGAAGCCTCGCCTAGTCATCATCACTACCGAGCTCTGTACCGTCACCGTCCTGCCGAGCCTCACTTCCGGTGTCTCGGATCTCGGCTGCTGTAGGACCCTAAAATCTGGGTCTTATATTGCCGGGGAACGCCAGCTCGCTGCACCCTCCCCGTGCTTCTTGAATCAACCATTAGGAACGAAGGTCTGTCTTCTGTGGGCGGGACTTTGCCAAATAAATCCAATGGTAATTGAAAGTTCTTCAGCAACTGGCCAATCACGGCGCGAATGGGACATGGCCTCCTGCCCGTACTTTGAAGTCGCTTAGAAGCTCCTGCAGGGTGGGCATGTGGGGTCGCCGGCTGTGAATCCATGTGGCGGGGGTTGTGGACCCTGCCGATGCGGGCGGCACGTGGGCTTTGCAGGTGGGGTATCCTGGGTTTGGTGTATGACAGCAAGACTTTGCTGTATGGGCTTTGAACTCCTCCTGGACGCTGGGGTCCCGTTTCCTGCCGCAGAGTCACTGCCCTTTGCAGGAGTCCAGAACCCAGTTTGTCCACCTCCTGCCGCAGAGTCCACATCAGGGCATCAGTGTTACCCTTTGGCGTTAGAATTCTAATCGGGTCATGCTTTGACCTCCAACCCGCCCACCTCGAAGTCGCAGAGCCCTCAGCTCTCCTGTCACTCTGCTGCAGATCTGTCCCGATGCACTGACCGCACCTCTCTCGCCAGGTCGTGCTCAAACCGAGGCAGCGGCGCCGCGGCCCCTGGATCTGGAGCCACCATCTTCGCGCTGAGCTCGGGCCAAGGGCGCTGCGGCGTCGCGGTGATCCGAACCAGCGGCCCTGCCAGCGGCCCCGCCCTCCGGAGCCTCACGGCAGCGCAGGACCTGCCTCCGGCCCGTAGTGCCCGCCTGCGTCTGCTCAGCGACCCGCGCTCTGGAGAACCCCTGGACCGCGCCCTGGTGCTGTGGTTTCCAGGTGAGGAACCCAGGCCCCCCGAAACTCCCATAGTTCCTCATTCCTGAGATCCTCTCTCCCCTGACTCGCACCTCTCTCCCATCTAGGCCCCCAGAGTTTCACGGGGGAGGATTGCGCTGAGTTCCACGTGCACGGAGGCCCTGCGGTGGTGAGCGGGGTACTGCAGGCCCTTGGTGAGTTGGTGGCAATGGGTTTGAGACCTGGCAGAGTCTCTTATGGGCCTGAGTGGGACTTGTCCCCCTGACCCAGAGGCTCAGGACTGGGGTCTCCCCACCCCAGGCGGTGTGCCAGGGCTGCGGCCTGCAGAGGCAGGCGAGTTTACCAGGCGGGCATTTGCCCACGGGAAGCTGAGCCTGACCGAGGTGGAGGGGCTGGCAGACCTGATCCACGCAGAGACTGAGGCACAGAGGCGACAGGCCCTGCGGCAGCTGGACGGGGAGCTGGGGCGCCTGTGCCACGACTGGGCTGAGACCCTCACTACAGTGAGCACAGCCACTGAGGCTGCCTCCTCCTCACCCCCATTCCCTATACATCACTTGCGTGAGAGCCCTCTCTTGCACCTCCCTTGTCTGAGAGCCTGCAGCCTCCAGTGCAGTCTGTGCCATCAGGAGGCCCAGGTGCTAACAGCTCCTCCGCCCCCCAGGCTTTGGCTCACGTGGAGGCCTACATCGACTTCGGTGAGGATGACAACCTGGAGGAAGACGTCCTGGAACGAGGTGGGACCCGCCCGAGCATGGGAACTGGCACCCCTTGGCATTTGCGCGCTGTCTTCTTCCTCATACCTTCTCTCTGTCTCCCCCTAGCGAACAGCGCGGTGCAGGGACTGCAGGCTGCGCTGGGCGCACATCTGCGAGATGCGCGCCGTGGGCAGCGGCTCCGCTCCGGGGCGCACGTGGTGATTGCGGGGCCTCCCAACGCTGGCAAGAGCAGCCTGGTGAACCTGCTCAGTGCGTGGGCGACACGCTGGAGGCGGGGCGAGAACTGGGGAAGGGGTGGACCTGGGCACTGGACAACAGGACCATGCAGGGTTTCTGGCTCCTTTACCTCCACTCCACTCCTTTCCTCTTAACACCAACCCCTCTCCAGGCCAGAAGCCTGTGTCCATCGTGTCACCAGAGCCGGGGACCACACGTGACGTTCTGGAGATCCCAGTGGACCTGGCTGGATTCCCAGTACTACTGAGTGACACAGCGGGACTGCGCCAGGGCGTTGGGCTGGTGGAACAGGAGGGCGTGCGGCGAGCGCGAGCGAGGTGGGTCTGTAGGCAGTGGGTATGTATGGCTGGGCCCTTCCTCTGCCTTTTCTCTGTTGCTTTTCATTTAATCTTCCTGAATGAGGAGACTGTTGCACGCTTTAAGAGGGCGACCTTACTGATTTAGAGAAGGCAGTCTTTGGCCTTCTACCGCTTGCCCTGTCCTCCCCGCCCCCTAAACTTTAGGGTTCCGCTCTGACATCCCCCTAATCTGGCTCTTCCTGCTTCCACAGGCTCGAGCAGGCTGACCTCATTCTGGCCGTACTGGATGCCTCTGACCTGGCCTCCCACTCCAGCTGCGACTTTTTGGACACTGTCGTGGCTCGCATGGGGGCCCAGAGCTCCAACGGGAGCAGCCAGCGCCTCCTGCTGGTGCTGAACAAGATGGACCTACTGTCCCATGAGGGCCCCGGACCCAAGCCTGACCTGCCCCCTCATCTGCTGCTGTCTTGCCTGACCGGGGAGGGCCTAGAAGGCCTCCTGGAAGCACTGAGGAAGGAGCTGGCTGTAGTGTGAGCCCCCTCACCCCATATCTTAAGTTTAAGTGGGATCTGAGCTATTGTTACTGATTTTGGGCACATAACTGCCGCATACTTGGTTTCTGAATCTGTTATAAAGGACACAACCATCCTTTTTCTTTATTCTAGAAAAGTGGCTGAGAAAATGGAGAATGGAGACTGAATATGTCTTCTCTTCCAGGTGTGGGGACCCATCCACAGGCCCACCCCTCCTGACACGTGCAAGACACCAGCATCACCTCCAGGGCTGCCTGGATGCCCTAGGGCAGTACAAGGAGGCCAGAGACCTGGCCCTGGCAGCTGAGGCACTGCGGGTTGCCCGGCGGCACCTGACCCACCTCACAGGGGGAGGGGGTACTGAAGAAATCCTGGACGTCATCTTCCGAGACTTCTGTGTGGGCAAGTGAGAAATGGCCGATCCTGTGGGCACCACTGGAGGAAGACCAAGGCTCAGGCCCAGGCCGACAGATGCCTTGAAGGGACTGGGAACATCATTGAGCCAAGCGGAGTTCTCAAGGAAGAGCTTGATTCCAAATGGAGCAGTGAATATTTGCTCTCATAGGTAGTGAGCCCCATGTTTCTGGTGGTAACCAAGCTTCAGCCAGCTAGATCCTTTTGCAGAGGCTAGCTAGGGGTTCAGGCCCTGAAGTGGGAATAAATAGAAGTCCTTTCTGGGTGTCAGCTTCTGGGTAGTAAGAGTGGTGATTAGGGAAGTGGGTGGAAATTTCAGGATTTCATTTGTTACATAGATTTTAAGTTAACTTTCAAATACCAAAGGAATGTAAATATAAAAGAGTGTGAGTAGTGTCAGAAGCATCTAATTTTCATGGAATAATCACTGGGATCACCCCAAAGCTGATCCGTATGAAGTGGAGGTGAGATATGTGTCCGTTCCTCAACTTTTTTACCAATTCAGACACCAGCTACCTGTCTCACAAAAACCTCTACTTCTTCTCTGGGTTTAATGGTCCATTGCAATGACCACACAGCATTCATAGACCATGTTTACAGTTAAGATGCACACACTCCTTTCTTGATTTTGAACCATGCAGTGTTCCCCTCCTTTGTTCAGACAACAGCTTTCTGGTCTAGGTCTAGGTTTCATAGCACAATCAAGTGTTCTGCAATTGCCATTCTCAGTGTTAACCATAATTTGTTTTGATCCACAAAGTATAATGCCTTTGTATAGTTGATCAAATACAAATAGGCATCTTTCTGGTGCTTTCTGCTTTCAGCCAAGGTCCACTTGACATCAGCAAAGATACCCCTGGAAGAGCCATGGCCTCTTCTAAACCCAGCTTGCATTTCAGGCAGGTTTCTGCCAATGTGCTATTCTAGTTGGTTTTGGATAATCTTCAGCAAGATTTTACTTGCATGGGATTTTGTTAGATAATTACTGCATTCTGTTGGATCACCTTTTTATGGGAATGGGAACAAGCATGTATCTCTTCCAGTCAGTTGACCAGGCATCTGCCCTCCAGATTTCTTGGCACAACCTAGTGAGCACATCCAGGGCTTCAACTGTTTGTTAAAATGTCAGTTGGTATGCATTCAGTTCCTGAGCCTTATTTTTTGCCATTTCCTTCAAGAGCAGCTTGAGCTTCCTCCTTTATTACCACTAATTCTTGATTGCCGTTTTGCCCAGCATAAATTTTTTTTTAAGGTTCACCCATGTTGCAGACCAAGGGTAAAGTTGTTGTTGTTATGTGCCATCGAGTCGCTTGTGACTCATAGTGACCCTATGTACAAGAGCTCTAAACGCTGTTCTATTCTGTGCCAACCTAGCCATCTCAACTGCACTCATTCCCACCACTCCAGTCACAGAATCGATCCATCTCACCGAGGGTCTTCCTCTCCTGTGCTATCCCTCCACTCTGCCAAACATGAGGTCCCTCTCCAATGACCAGTCCCTCCTTGCAACATGCCCAAAGTATGTCAGACGAAGCTTCAGAATCCTTGACTCCAAGGAGCATTCCAGCTTCACCTTCTCCAGGACAAAACTGTTTGTTCTCCTAGCAGTCCATGGTATATTCAACACTCTTCTCCAGCACCACAGCTCAAAGGCATCAATTCTCTTATCATCCCTATTCACTGTCCAACTCTCTGACGCATAGCACGTAATTGCAAAGACTAGCCTCGATCAGGTGCACCTTAGTCTCCAGCCCGACGTTGTTGTTCTTCAGTACTCTCGAGAGGTCCCTCACAGCTGACTTTCCCAGTGCAATTCATCTCTTG